TTCCAAAAAGGTAACATCAGAAAATATGAAAATACACAGTTTATCAAATTTCACAAAAACAGATCTCCTGGTATGCTACTAAAAATAGAAGTATCTCAAAGACTTCTAATGGAGACTCATGTATACATTGTGTGGCGGGAGAGCATAGAGAACACTGTAAAGGGTAAAATGCAGGAGACAAGAGAATTCAACATTGCTATGGGCTGTTTAATGATCAAATGCAAATCTTCTGCCTGGAACTGTGCAAAAGGTTTGAGGTTTTAAGTATATTCATCTTTGTATTAATGAGTGCCCACATCTTCAAAATCTAATCTATATCTACTTACGTTCTTTTCTTACTGAACTTAATCTTAGACTATATATGAATCATCCTCAAGGAATTGCTACATTATGTAAAGCTGGTAGGGTTTTTCTGCAAATGGGAGATGATGATGCTTTCCCCTTACTTTTCTATTAAGTTTACATAAGCCAAAGACAACCTGGGTGGATTTTGTTTAAAATCAAGTACTCTTCCTGTCCCCCCTTGACAAGAACACATGTATCTTTTCGTTTTCTGTGCTAACATTAGTGACGCTTTCACTCTGCTGACTGTCCAGTCTTGAAATCCCTGACTCTTTGAACTTCTGCCTTTCTCTCCTTCAGCTTCTGCATCTAATTAACTGGGAAGTCCTGCTAGTTCTCCCTCTGCACTGTGAGCTCACACCTGCTGCTTCTTTAAGAGTGCTTCCAACATTATCACCTCCCCTAGGAAGCTCTGCTGAGTCCCAAGCCCAGCTGGCTCCTCTCCTTCATGTTTCCAACAGTACTTCCTGGACACCCATTTTATCACGGAACTTGCCATGTTCTCTTATAATTACTGCCAGTTATATGCTGCCAAGGCTGTGGTTCTCAAATTCCACCACATATTAGAATCATCAACAATCAAAAACCAACTGAGGCAGAATCTCTGGGGAGGTGAGACCAGGGCCAGGGCATTTTTAAAAGCCACGCTCTTCAGATGTTAATATGCATACAATTCACTGGGGCATCTTGTTGAAATGTAGAGTATGATTCAGTAGACCTCAGGTGGGGCCCAAGATTCTGCATTTCTAACAAGCTCCCAGGTGACACAGATGCTGCTTACGCTAAATCAGCTAAAAGTTGCCCCAGATGGTCAGGTATTTTAGAAAAACAATTAGATTCCTTATCTGTATCTGTATGTATATCTGTTTCTTAAGCCTACAAACTCTTACCCAATACAGGACAATGCCTTCCTTCTGTTACCTGCTCCTGTCGCCGCCATTTTTAGGTGAGTAGAGGTGAGAATTTTCTCATAAATCAGAATCTGGATTGTCAATATTTCAATAGAATCGGCCTTCCCCACCCGTATTCACAGTAAGCATATGCCTCCACTCTTCCCTCGCCCTGCCATGTCACGTTTCTGTGTTCATCTTCCTGCTGCAGGACACAGTGAAATGCTGGGGAGCGTTCAGAAGGCTAGAGGAGAGAGGTCTCGTCGCCTTGGCTTGTGTTCCAAGTTTTAAGTGTGATCTTGTCTCTTCACTTCATTGTTAGCCCAGCCTCAGGAGTCTGTCTTCCGCTACTTCTCAGGTGCACTTGTCACCCTCCCTCTTTTCTCCTTCGACTCCTGACAGCCCTCCGCTCCCACCTGTTCTCACATCTTCCTCACTCCACCACCATCACTGTCATCCCTAGACTTACCACAAATCATGGAAACCAATGAACACAAATACAAACAGATGCTTATATTGTAAAAACTTCTTTCTTCCACTTTAAGTGCTACTTGCTCAGACACATCACTTTTCTTCTGTTAATGCTTCTGTCCTTTACAAGTACAGATCAATTTTTTCGTTTCAGGCCCCAAGGACAGACTCTAAGTAATTGTTATTTAATTAGGCTAAGCACGATTTAAGGTTCTATTGGCCTTTGCACACCTTTAAGTGCTGACCTAGCTGCAGTCCAGTGCTTTCCAGAGTACATACTGAGGCATCCTGGGGAACCCACCCTAGTGCCAGGAAGTATTTTTTTAAATTTCGAGGGAAACACAGCAACACTTGGGCTCAGTCAGACGCCTTGTGAATTACTAGCTCAGGGTAGTTCACAGTTTCAACAGTAGGTGGTGCTACACTCCTTTCGATGATGTCATATGTCTGTTAAGCTGGACTCCCCATAGTACTTGTGATAAGTGAGTACAGAGCAAAACCAATGTGGAAAGGAAATGAGGGGCAGTGTCTAATCTTAGAAGTTGCGCAGAGCCCAGTAGATGCCCACATTCTGTAAGTAAGAAACTGTGGTTTATTTAAGAATAAAATTAAAATATTATTTTTTCTATTGCTGTGTATTTTTTTCAAAGAGCTACTTACTAGTTAGAACATAAATAGCTATTAAGGTTTTTGGATCTGTTTCTTGGGTCCTAAGCATACTGTGAGAACAATTCTTGAGATAATAAGGGCACTGCGAACCAAGAATGTTTTGGAACCTCTGCTATAGTCTAATCTTATTTTTTCTCTCTCTCTCTTTTTTTTTTTCCCAAAAGTTTCTTAACCTCGGGGATCCAGATCCCAACATCAGGTGTATGTTTTGTTCCAGATCTATTTAAAAGTGGGCCAACTTGTTGATCAACAAGAGGAACAAACTTTTTTTTTTCTTAAACGCTTTTTTTTTTGTCTATTTTTAACTGTGGTAAAAACACATTATACTCAAATCCTTTCACATGTTGATAAAATATAACCCCAAAGATATATTTGGGGAAATGCCCTATTAACTGAGGAAGAACATCTCTTAAACACATCCATCGTAGGAATATGGGGTTCACGACAACTTCAGTGATTATCCTTGCCTTTTTTTTTTTTTCAACAGATAATCTCTTATGTGTCACACCTTCAAGGAGGTGGGGATGAGGTAGGGAAATATGTCTAGCTACCAATAAAATATCCACCTCCAACTGGTTAAATTGAAGCTCTGATTGGGAAGGGATTTTGCCACCATCCTTTGTATTTTCCACCCACTGAGAGATCCTGTAATTACTTCATTTTACTTTTGCAATGATACAGAAATCAATACTCCGCTTCAATGCATTACAGATAGATTATTATTAATAGAGCATATACAATGGATTTTCTCACCAATAATAAGAACATCTTTATGCACCTACTATGTGCCAGTCCCTGGTTCTTGTCTCACTTTAACTCCATGAGGTAGGCACTGCTGCCTGAATTTTCTAGATGAAGAAACTAAAGCCTGGGATGGTTAACAACCTGCCTTGGGCCACACAAATGGCAGGGCGGCTTCAGATCTGCTTGAGTCCACAGCTCGAAACTTTACCCCATGGCAATATTACCTCTCACAATTATCATGGTAAAACTGATTCCTATGCGGTTTTATCCATTTCTGCTGCTAGCATCCTGATATATCCTAGCCTTTCTTTAAGAACACGTGGTGGTTTTGATATAAAATGGCATCACAATTTTAGAAGAAAAAGCAGAAAGGACAAAAAGGGAATCAATTATTTAGTCAAAGCATTTAAAACAATTTAATCTTCTATGACAATAATGTTATTTGTATTGTAGAAAGTGCTTTGAAGATTGTAAGATGATTATTATTATTTACAACCATTACTCTATTAATGTAGTGCCTGCTCATCAAATTTCACAAGGAAATGGAGTAAAGTACAAGTAAGTGGACTGTCTTTCTTCAGCAGTCACATAGCGTGTGATTTTCACATCAAATACGAGGCTAAACCCTTGGGGATCTGTGTGGATGTTCACCCCTTCACTGAATACTTCCTCTCCTACTTTTTTTCACATTAATAATTCATTCATTGGAACAATGCCTGGTTACCTCAGCCCAAGCCATGGATGGCTTTCCTTCATTTATAGTGGTAAATACTTAAAGAGAATATTCGCACCTTCTTATTTAGGGATATTTGATAACAGATTGAAATGTGAACATGCAGCCCTTGGAATCTGCAAAATTTATGCTATTCGCATGATATCCTGATATAGTCATTTCAAAATCATAGCTGTAATCGTAAACAAAGGCATTTTATCTTTTCTATTATGTTCATTCCCTATATAAAGGGTATGTGACAATTACTTTTCTTATCAATACCATATTATGAAACACAGAACCTACAAAGTACAAATCCGTGTCTCTATTTTTTTCCCCATCGTTGCAGTATGCAGATATTCTGCCACAAGAATGTAGCTGATGATAAAATTTCAGTGAAACGCACGATGACAGTATAACTGAGCTGTTTCCCTGACTCAGCTCCAGTAATCTCTAAGGGCTATCATAAGTGATGCCACCTCATTCAACTTTCTAGAGTCAATAAAATGGTCAGATGATATTTGGAAATAGCACCTCTACATAACCATTTTTCTCTCTTGTGAACCTTGCCACAATTAAATCACAAGCTTTTGAAATGCCTGGCTCTTGCCAATTATTTGAGACAAGACAAACTCGACAGCAGCCGCAACCAAATCTGAGGCATTGGTAGGTTTTGAGGACCAAGGGCTCCATTTGGGCACGGAAAGGACGACACAGTCGGGGAGCCGTGTTAAGAGGTAGTTAATTTGAACCTGGCCAAAGGACTGATGTTCCGAATGTTTGCTTTCAGAATGAGAAAAAGGAACCTTCCTTCCCTTACAGCTTAATCGCTCTATTCCTATTTTTAATACATCCTGGTTTATAGAATAGCTGGACCACATTTTTCAAGCTAAAGTAAAAATTAAAGGATTTATGATAATCCTAGGTGGGTGGTTGTGGGCGTTTCTTTTTCAACAGAAGCATTTCTTTCTTTGTTGCATTGCTAACATTTCTCAGCTTCTTGCTACAGTCTTCTTCCCAAAACTACTCAAGTGAAAAAAAAAAAGTCTTACCAGATAAGCAACAATTCTTACTGTATTGGGGGAATAGTTCACATCCTCCCCGTCTATTTATTAGAAGTAATTTCTTCAGGCTTTACAACCAGAACGTCAAAGCGCCCAATGGAATCCTACCTTGCCCACGTACTGATAATCGGATCCTGTATATTCCTCCAGGAGAAAGAACTGATTCCACATCCAGCTCCTTTTCGAACGGTTCAGCTCATTTTTGCTGTTTCCAGAGAGCTCCAGGGCCCTTTTCTTTGCTGGGAAACCGCTAGTCCTCTTAGATAACGGGGTTGAGAAAGTTGGGTAGGGCTGACCAACCCAAAAGAGTAGCAAGAAGTACCGGTAAGTTCTCATTCTGATAAGACAGTCCAGTCTCTGGGTAGTGGGTACCCTGCTCCTTGAAGTGGCTTTTTTCACTGCACTGTTTCCAGCATCATTTCTCCTTTCTTCCTTAATGTTCTTTGCTTGGCTCTCAGAGGATATCTGGAAAGAATAATAACATATCAAACATTTTTAGAGATGTTTAAAATTCAGTGTTAGAGCAAATAAGCTCTGGAGAAAGAGGACAGAAATTTGGATAGCAAAACAACAAAAATAAGTTGGCTATCAATTTTGAAATGAGGAAAACGTTCTTTCAGATATGCTAAATGGAAGGCATGTGCCGAGTCGGAAGCTGCTGTTTTCCCTTCTCCTTTTCTATCACTTAACAATCCTATTTTAAGCCATTGCGTTGCTGTAGGTCAACATGCCAGAGTGGATTATTTCACTACTCTTTTTTCCTCTCGAGTATGTGGGCTGAGATCTGGTTAGAAGGAACGAGTCTGTGTTTCGGATTCCATTTGCATATTTATCCTCATGAACAAGTCAGAGGCAAAGAATATCGCCCACAATTGCAGTTCGATTGAAAGCGGATAATGTTGATGTTTCACTAGAATGTACTGAGGACCTGGGATCATCAGCCTAAGTCAGGGCAGAGCCTGCTCAGACTCTTGGCTTCACAGATGTGTTGGGGTAGACGGGTCTGGGTCAAGCACGGTTGGAAAAGACCACACTTTGTCTTCTCTTCCGAATGCATGCTAGCATATTGAAGTTTCCAAAGTGAAATTTTGTAACGGTGATGCAAGCCTACATTTAGTAAAGGGTTTCTCAAACTTGCCTGGGAAGCTTTTTTCCCCTTATACGACCCAGTAACACTATAGGATGGGTGAATGAGCAACCTACAGAATTTATATATAACAGAATATAGGAATTAAATGAGCAATTTTATTTAAATTTCTGTAGGAAATCTTGGGCTTTCATCTCTAAATTTTACTTGTATCATAAGCAAGCAAGCATATGTATAAAAATTGGTCAATTTCTATATAATTTTCACAGGTGCATCAAATATATCTCAGTATCAGAGTGAACGCAGTTGACTACAGGATCTCCAGAAAAGTCAGCTCTTATACTTGTGTCTAATAATTTTCCAGGACAAATATTAATTTTCTTTTTTTTTAAAGATTTTATTTATTTATTTGTCAGAGAGAGAGACAGAGCACAAGCAGGGGGAGTGGCGGGCAGAGGGAGAAGCAGACTCCCCGCTAAGCAAGGAGCCCGATGCAGGACTCGATCCCAGGACCCTGGGATCATGACCCGAGCTGAAGGCAGACGCTTAACCGACAGAGCCACCCAGGCGTCCCAAATATTAATTTTCAAGAACATAACCTCGCATTAAAAAATTCCTTGGGCCAGATTGTCTAGCAGAGATGTTACGATGTGGTTTACTATTTCACATAATTAGTCATACATACCTATATCTCCATCCCAGACTTTTCCACATTTCTTGAAAAAAAAATCCAACAAATCACTCCTTCACTGTACCATTCGATATGGGAAAAATATTTTCTTAAATAATACTAACAAAAATGAAGTGCTTTGTGATGTAGAACATAATAGTAATTAACTTTGGTATGTTCACTAAATACATGCAGGACAAAAGAAACATGTTTTAGGTAATCTGATCAGAATTTTTTTTTTCTTTATGTCAGAAAAATGTGTTCACTTGTTTCCTATTATTCTAGCAGGGAAATGTATATATGACCAGTGTTCTGATTTTTTTTTTTTTACCCCAGCAACGAGTAATCATTGCCACCAAGCACATGATTTAGTAAAAGCTTTCTATTGGAATATCAGTGAAATATTTCATAGTGTTCAGCATTTTTAAATCTTTATTCCATTACTATGCATCTTCTTGACAGCAGGCTGGGGAAGTTGAAAATTCCACAGGTGAGTAAATTAGTACTGTGCCAATTAGTCATGCTGGAAAAACGCCAGGCAACCGTAACTTGTCATTAGGCGGCCTTGGTACAGGTGTGGAATAACTGATGATCAGTTAGGCCATGACGAGTCTTCTCTTCTCAGGGATAGTATATAAAGGGGATTGAGGGAGCATATGGAGAAAAGCCCTCTAAAGACATCTATTCATTTTTAGTAGCAGAGATTACATTGAGGTTGAGTCAGTAGAAATTACATTTTTCTTAATTTCTCATATTCTCTGTTATTTGCATAGACATATCCTGCAGTGAAGAATTATATGTCTGCTGCCGCACTCAGTGTGTGCCCCATGGTGCTGGCAGGAAAGAGGGATTCAGAGAATGGATGTGTCACCTGTTTAAAAGGCAGACTCCTAAAGGCCATTTTTAAAGAAAAATCGATCCCTGTGGGCGTTGTGTGGAAACTCTACAAGCTGTTGCCACTTGAATATTAAATATTAGTTCTTTTTAATATCACAGATACCAAAATGTCAAGTATTTCCTTTCTTTCTTTCTTTCTTTCTTTCTTTCTTTCTTTCTTTCTTTCTT